TAATATAACAAACTATTTAAGCTGAATTAAAAAAAGAAATAATAAATAAAAAATTATATATTTATTTTTTATATTTCTAATTAAAAATAAATAAAAAGTTTTTTAATATACAATATAAAAATTAAAATATATAATTTAAATAAAACTGTAATTATATATTTTTATATATATTCTATACTATAACAGTAATTTTTTTATAAAAAGTTAAATAATATTTATATTATTTAGATTTCTTTATTACTTTTAATAAATATTAATAAAAAAGATACTAATTTCTTTTTTAATTATTTTTTTAATTTAAAAAGCTTTTTTTATATACTTTTAAATAATAGTAAACATAGTTCAATTAATAATCAATTAATTTAAATATATTTTAAATATATTAAAACTTAAAAAAATATAGTAAATAGATCTTAATATTAAAATAATTGAAATAATCAATTATTTAGTTTTTAATTATACTGTAGTCAGATATAAAATTTTTCTTAACCTGATTATAATCTAGCAGTTAGATATAAACATTCTAATTAACCTAATCTGACCTGGCCATTAGCCAGTCTAATTAAAAACAGAACCATAAGCAAAGTGGAAGTATTCTTTATATAATACAGACTCAAGAAAAAGCTCCAATAAACAATAAAGATTCTCTTTACATAAAACTATGTTAAAACTATCTCCAGCCACAAAGAAGCAATAGGTGTGAGAAACTTCAAAGGTTTTTTAGTATACAATATCATAGATATGATTTTATTTTTAATAGGACATGCCTTCCAAGACCTTATAGAGGTAACTTAAATTACACCCGGTGCTTTCAACAACTTCAGAGGTTATATTTATCACCAAGCAAATATAAAATTACAGGGCTGATAAATATCCCTTGTATACTGTTCATGTAATGTCAAGAAGTTGAAATATGTGATATAATATTCAGTACTCTACTAGTAGTATACAGACTATGCAAATTACAACAGGAGCAAGTACAAGAATAAAATATGAATTAAGAAAGGAATCTACCCAGATGCAGAAATAAAAAGTTGCTGTATATAAGTGCGCCTTCAGTTATATCTGGTTAGTCTCATATGCGAGGAGGGCGACAAGTATACAGGCAGCCACTGCATCTTTATTTGGGGCCAGATGAGAGTCAGTGCGTACACGCAAGAAGTGCCATTTATCAATTTCCAAGTTGCACATAGTTCGCAGGGAATAGTCCCGTTTTGCCATCATAGTGGCCGAACCACCAGTCATCATCGGGAAACTCCTAGAGGAGACACCTCCAAGTCAGCTATGAACACCCAATAGACGAACCAGAAATTAGATTTGCAAGTTCGGTGAAAATCATTCTGCGGAAAGTGGTCGGCGTGATCAAGAAACAAGTGCTCAGACTTACAATATGTGTTATCTCAGCGCCCTCAGGGAAGCTCAGTTCATTGTCCTCCGCAGCCTCATAGTCGTACAATGCGACTGCAATAGGTTCGCCAGCTGGTTCAGGGGTCATAGTAGATGGGGCAGCTTCAACATTGGACAAGGACGGAGCCCTTTCATCGACCAGAGGAGTTTGCCTATCCGCCACATCGTGACTCTGCGAAGGGTTTGTGACAATCTCTACATAGTTGCTGGGAAACAGACCTCTGTCACCTTGGACATTGGTCCCCAGCCACCAATCCTTGTCGACCATTTCGACGTCGTTGACGAAGTCGCCTTCCTTAAGTTCAACCTCATTGTCCTCTGCTTTCTCGTAGTCATAAAGCACTACCGCCTGGATAGACGTACGCTGAACGTCCTCATTTACAGTAGCTTCAGCGGTTGCACGCCCAATATCGTGCGCGTCATCTTCCAAATCATCTTCTTTTGGCAAGGCCTGCTGCAAGCTTTCAGTAGGTAGTACAGGAGGCGGTGACTGCTGTTCGCTCTGAATATCCGTCAGTCCCTTACCAACAGGAGCAGCCACGCGTATGGGTGAAAGTTCACGCTCTGTCATTGAAGGTGTAGGAGGAGTAGGAGACCGAGGCTGCTGAGGAGGCGTAGGAAGCGAATCAACGCCTCTAGACTGATAAGATCCTTCTAAATCAGTCGCCGGGACAGTTGTCGGAGATTCTGGCACAGGCACGGCGCGGCTAGTCGTCGGAACCAATTCCTTCTCATGTTTCAAGCTCTGATACTTGTCGTGACTTATGTGGCCTGGGTCGACATTTGTGCTTTCCTGTGTAGACTGCATGAGTAAGCCAGGATCTGATTTCTCTGTACGTAGAGGAAGTTCAGAAGATTCTGGTATATCGCGAGACTGGGCAACATGCACCGGGTGCTTGGAGGAGTTGCCTTGCAGTGATTGAACATCAGTGTGGATTGGTGTATCTATTTTCGCGTCGGGTGAGTTGGATGACGTTGAGCGAAAAGCTGAACCACGTTCCCTAGCCTTGCGCTCTGACCAGAGCTGTGCGGGTGTCTTTCCCCCTTCATCCGCAAATGTACGACTCGCACTGCCCACTAACGGTGCCGTAGCCTGAGATGTTTGGGTAGGCAAGGGGGGCTTCGTTCCGACGAATGTGGAATTTGAAGTGATATTCTTTGCGACTTTCGGTTTTGGTAAGCTTGTCAGACGTTCATATTGGCTTGCCACAGGAGATGCATTGGACGGCTTAAAGGACCCAGTCATGTCCGGTAAAGGCCTTGGCTCGACAGAGGTTGGCCTGTTGACTGGATCAGTGATCCCACCCTGTGCTTTAGCCCGGATAGCAGCTATATCGACCTTCCCAACTGGCTGATATGCCCCTTTCACAGGCTCAGGACGATCGTCAGCCAGATTGCCTGCTTCACGTGCTTGTCTTCTTATGGCAGCAATGTCAACCTTCCCGATAGGCTTGTAGCCACCTTTGACGATTTTGTCACGGTCCTCGGTGTCTCGGGAAACCGCGAAGCCAGAGTCAGACTGTCCATCGGCTTTAAGCTCTTGAATGTTCACCTTGGTGGGTCTGTAAGCTGACTGGACTTTTTGAAGACCAGTCCTCGTAACTGGGGGCGCGTCAGGACCCCAGCCATCATCCCCACCGATTGTCGCAGCCACTCGCGATGCAACAATTGCTGGATTGTTCGCAACAGTGCCACCGGTCCGTGCAGGGTTAAAGGCAGGTTTAGTTGATACCGGGGGCTTTGGAGTAGATGTAGGCCGATCTGGCCCAGGGGTATACTTCGCTCCGGACGCATCCCCCACTTTCTGTATTATACCCTCCGCTGACAGGTCCTGATCAGAACGAGCGGTTATTTGCACGTGATAACCCTATGGTTCTATGTATCAGAATGGGGCACGGGGTATGCATATCGGGCATAGCGCAAACTGACATGCAGGAATTTAGAAACAGCGGCGAGATGACTGGTGAAATATCCCTTAGTACGCTCAGGTACGCCCTCCCCACACCAGGCAATAAGCACATTCTTAGGGAGCCCCGAGTTTGGATCGAGAATCTTTACGAAAGCAAACTGAATTTTGCCCTCAGAGAACTCTTCAATCAGATCCACCAGCTCGCCAGCTTAAAAGCAAGGGTCAACGAAGTTCAATTCGAAAGACCAGGGGGTAATTGACAGACCTCCGGTATTTTGAACCTTCAAGACACTTTCCTTATTGCCAGAGTCTTGCTGGAAGGCATTGATAAGAGGTGTCGAAACGGAGAAGACAACCCATTGTCCGTGAGTAAGGGAGTTCGAACCGGGCAGGGCCGAGTCGACCACGGCCTGGTAGCTCTTTGCTATCGAAGGCCCGTTGGTGGACAAGTTAAGAGTGGCCATATCTGCTGGGATCAAATATGTGGAGCACGAGCACAGATTGTGACAGGAAAACTAGAGTGAAGCTGTTAGAAGAGGTTGAGTGGCAGACTTGGATGAAAGTCATTGTTTAGATTTGTAGAAGGGATTCAGGGGATTGTTCCACATTTTATTTATAGAAGTAGCAAATAAGGCAGGGCTTGACTTACGGATGATGTTAGTGTTGCGGATGTATGGGGTGTCTGCCTAGAGGATATGTGTTAATTGTTTTCATGGGCTAGTACAGAAGACGGGGTAACCACCAGCAAGTGGATTCAATACGTCACAGCTTACTCCTTTATTAACTACCTAGAACCTAAATGAGGCGGTGCGCACTCACCCGCCACTACGATGATACTAACCACCATTGGTAAGTTGCACATTCAAAAGGCGGAGGAATAAGACTATTTATATATTATTTTTATTGGGTCTTCTTCCAAAGTCATACTAAGTATAGTCTAGAAATAAAATATGACCTTTGGTTTAAACCTCTGTAATAGTATATCATAAAAGAGCTCCCTATTCACAGGGTCACTTACGTGGTAATCTTGGACTAATAAGCACCATATAGCAAATCCAACGACAACAAGTATATGTAACTATATGTAACAAAGAAACTGTTTACAAGTACCTGCCTTGATACCGAGTAGTATTTTTTATATATGCCAAAGCTAACAATATCATACTTTGTTGATTACTTGTCGGCTAATCCCACGGGTGTCTGCTTAATAATAATTACTGATTTATGTTAATTTAGGCACTGAGCAGGTGCGGTGAGCACTTGCGGACTGGCTATGAAATTTTTGTTCTGGGATGCCCATTCCAACTGGAGAGTATTTCACTAATCGAGCAACTTTATTACAGCCAGTTCTACAAGATTGTAGGAGCACAACTGTGTACAACAAAGTGGGCTACAAGATCGAGAATGACTTCTCCAAGTTCAGATAAAGCTGCCAGGCCCATTTCTAATGCCAACGCACCTCTAGGTCCATCAAACGAGGAGACTTTGTCTCACGTTCTTGGGACAGGCTCTGGCTTCCCCCTCCATGTTACTGCCACTGCTGGGTTGAATAATTCAGATCTTGCAGAGTCCGCACCACAAACACCCGAAGATGTTCTTCCAAGGGACATACAACTCAAGACGCCAACATATGACTATGCCTTCGAGAAGTCCATGAGCCATACTGAAGCAAAGCTTTTTTACCAGCACCATCAGCTCGCCAATCGAAACGTTGGAGACGGCGATCAACTCTCCAAGGCAGCTGCACCAACTACTACCTGTGTACCGACTCCTCTGACCCAAAGGGATCTTGTTGACACGGCAATCATCCCCAGAGATGCCATGCAATCTACAATTCCCGCAATAGCCAAACAGCCATCGCCTATTGTTCGGCAGACAGCTGCAAATACAGACACTAGCAACACACCTTTCGGTAGCCCAGAAAATGAGGACTCAGAAAAGCAGAGAGCTTCCGAAGCACCTTCTATTTTTCAGTCTTTCATCGAGCAGCACACCTTGTCAGGAACAAGCAGTCTAGGAAATCCAGGAGATGGGCTCGGCGCAGTCCAAGGCATCATGCATATTTCGCCAGGCGCCAATGTGATAGCCTCAGATTTGGATGTCATTTGTCGTAAAATCAAGAGCCTGCTTGATCGAAGGGCCAGATATATGCATCTATCGTTGCAAGGGCCCGAAAACAATCCAAAGGATAGCCCGGATTGGCAAATTTACCCCCCACCCCCAGAACCGGCCTGGGATGATGACAAGGACCTTGGGAAGATTCACGATCGCCCACGTGCTGACCACAAAAGAAGAAAGATGGGTGAAGATGTGGGCGAGGATTTCGATATGGCTGACTGCCTGCCCCTTCCTGGAGAATCGGACTGGGTCTTCGAGTTGGACGAGAATAGTGTATATCAGGTTTATGAGGGCGATTCTGCCCGACATTCCCGACGACCAGTGGTCAGAATCCCTTCCTTAAGAGATTTCTACATGGACCTTGATGCAGTTACTGATATATCGACGGACGGACCTGCGAAAAGCTTTGCTTTCAAACGACTCTCCTACCTAGAAGGGAAATTTCAACTGTATACACTTCTAAATGAGTACCAAGAAATCGCCGACAGCAAGAAAGTGCCTCATAGGGATTTCTATAATGTTCGGAAAGTCGATACACATGTGCACCACTCCGCGTGCATGAATCAGAAGCATCTCCTTCGTTTCATCAAGAGCAAGATGAAAAAGTCCCCAGATGAGGTTGTATTGTTCAGGGACGGGAAACATTTGACACTAAGGGAAGTATTTGAGAGCATTAATCTCACAGCTTATGACCTCAGTATTGACACCCTGGACATGCACGTACGTAGCAAACTCACTTTGTCATGATTTTTGCTCCACCGCTAACATCTTCAATAGGCACATACCGATTCATTCCACCGGTTCGACAAATTCAACCTCAAATACAATCCTGTGGGCGAATCTCGCTTGCGCGAAATCTTCTTGAAGACGGACAATTTCATCAAAGGACGCTATTTAGCTGAAATAACGAAAGAAGTGATCTCCGATCTAGAATCAAGCAAGTATCAGATGGTGGAGTGGCGCATCTCAATATATGGGAGATCAATCGAAGAATGGGACAAGCTCGCGGCTTGGGTCGTGGATAATAAATTGTTCTCCCCAAATGTTCGCTGGCTAATCCAAGTCCCTCGTCTCTACGACGTCTATAAATCAAGTGGAATGATGCAAAATTTTGAGCAGGTCATAACGAATGTCTTCAAGCCGCTATTCGAAGTTACCAAGGACCCGGCTTCGCACCCTAAACTGCATATCTTCCTCCAGCGGGTTGTTGGATTCGATAGTGTCGATGACGAAAGTAAGGCCGAGCGACGACTATATCGAAAGTATCCCATCCCGAGAGAGTGGAACACGAAGCAGAATCCACCATACAGCTACTGGATTTACTTTATGTTCGCCAACATCGCGTCTCTGAATACTTGGCGTAAGCGGCTTGGTTATAACACATTCGTGTTAAGGCCACACTGTGGTGAAGCGGGTGATCCGGATCATCTTGCAGTCGGATTTCTCTGCTGCCATAGTATCAGCCATGGAATACTATTGAGGAAAGTCCCTCTGCTTCAGTATCTCTTCTACCTTGATCAGATAGGGATCGCGATGTCACCTCTCAGTAACAACGCACTGTTTCTGACATACGATAAGAATCCATGCGCCAATTTCTTCAAAAGGGGACTCAATGTCTCCTTGTCTACTGATGACCCCTTGCAGTTTGCTTTCACCAAAGAACCACTGATCGAAGAATACTCAGTAGCCGCGCAGATATATAAATTCAGTGCTGTCGATATGTGCGAGCTTGCGAAAAATTCCGTCGAGCAAAGTGGTTTCGAACTGTCTTTGAAGAAGAGATGGCTCGGCAGCAACTGCTCCGCACCAGGGGTCATGGGAAACAATGTCGCCAAGAGCAATGTTCCTGACATTAGGGAACAATTTAGGCATGAAACATTGCTTGGTGAACTTGCACTGTAGGTTTTATTCTTGTGGCTCATTCCTCGCCATCTTCTATACATGGATTTCCACTAACTCTTTCTAGAATTGATCGATATTGCGCCAGATTGGCCGATGAAGCAACGCTTAGATCAAACCTCGTGCCTCTGGCCAAACTTACTGAAAGTGACATTAGTCCAGCACAAGGTAAGTTATATTTTGACGAAAGTATAGTAGCATGTTGACACCCCCTTATAGACACAGCCTAATGAATATTAACAAGCGAGTTGCCATCATTGGTCACTCTACGCTACGGCATGGCTCGGCGGTCATGCTTTCCAGACAACAAACTTCCACTTCAAACCAAAGAAGACTTTCGGGGGCCATTCGCGGAAGGGATATAAGTTCTACATGAACGTGTCGCATCAGAGTCCTCGCTCATCCAAGGCACGGGCTGATAGGCGATGGGAATCACCAATAGCCGGCCCTACCTTAAATATATAAATTCCTTCTACCCATCCCCTGCATGTGTATGAAGCTTTAAGTAAATGCGTGTCTTAGATCCCTTGAATGCGGCGCAAACTGAACAAGGTGCCCCACAATCAACCATAGGAAATCAGCCTAAGCTCAGTTCGTGTCCCGTCACATAAGCGGGAGGCTCAAGTCTGCGTTGTGCGTACCGGGTAAGCGGGCCCTAGGATAAATTTGCTGCATTGCTTCAGACAGCCCAACTTCCTTTGCGTTCACATACGCCCCATGCTCCATGTTCTCCATCCATGTCATCAAAACCGACGCGATGCCGCTCGCGTGCCCAATCGAATATGTACAGTTGTAGAGCCTTCCAGCGCATGCAGGCACGTGTCGAGATGTCTTCCCCTATCGAAGGACTGTCGGAAACACCGACATGGCCCCTTGCATCTGTGTTCAGATCATCTTGTCTTAAATCTGCCACCGATATACCAGAGATCCTGCTGAGTTCGTGGTCAAAATATCGGGCAACACAGGGATAACCAAGCGAAAGATAATTATATATCTGAGTAACCAAACCGTCTTGCAGCTCCGCTTCGAGAGACGCATCACGGAAGTCTTCTTGTATTTTATAGCGAGTCGTAGGCAGGATCCATGGACTGGGTTGGAGTAACTGGTCCTTATCCGTTGAGCGATTTACATCGGTCGGCTGAAGGGTGGAAGATGTGTATGTCTGTGCAATTTGGTCTGCAATTGAACACCGCGGTGATTGTATTTCTTGCGAACTTGAAGTTTTGCAAGTACCTTTCCAAAGACCGCCATCGTTGGACCTATTGTTGGCATGGGGACTTCCATACCAAAGTCCAGAGAAAACACAAAGTCTATTGCGTGTGATGTTATGTTGAATATTGCTACCCTCGCATACTGTTGACTCTGGAGACAGGCTTTGAGGGAAGATAAGATCCTCTCCGAGCATCGGCGGGTTAGCATTGCTTCTAGTTGGTTCAAGATCATGACCCCGAACTCGATTATCATGGTGTCTCGCTGGCCTCCTGGATCCAAGCGAGGTAACGTCATTCGGTGATAAGAATGGTGACCCTCGGGTTCGAGCCATTGCACGATCAGTCATCTCAGCTTCTTCTTTATGTCTGCGCATGTAGTCTAGCTCCCATGAAAGATCGGCAGATGATGTTCGTCGATGGGTGTCTTGAGGAGGGATTCCCACATGAGAGGTTGCACGTTCATTATTCAGGAACTCTTCCTCTTCTCGATCAATAGCGAAGTGATCGACGGGCTGATGATCTTGTTCGTTTGGAAAAGCTGCTAGGGCTTGTTCTTTAAGCTGTTTCTCTACTGTGATAGCTGCGATGGCGGAAAGGTATTCTGTATTTTCATCCTCGGAGCTTCCTCGGGGTTTAATATCGGCACAGTTGTCTTTCTCCATTCTATCAGGCGATGCAGGTACCGACGGATGCTCAGACGTATCAGATGTCTCGCTACAACTAGAAGGAATTGCAGGAAGGTCAGGGATCCGGAACGAGTGCCTCCTCGTCTGTTGCCGCCGGCGCAGGTTCATGTACGAGAAACAAGATTCATGGGCCACGTGCCTGTTATTATGTGCATCATTGCCGACCGCAGTGACAAGGTTTGGGATCTCTCCCAGTACCAATGAGTTGCGTCTTTCTTGAAGGGTTGTATGAGAGGTATTCATTCGACGGAAAGAGCGTGTGCCTGTGTCCATGAGCTGTGGTGCGAATTTTCTGGGCCCTATATTTTTCGCGTCGTCGAATTCACTGGGTTTAATTTCAGTAGGCTCAATTGAGGAGTGCCTGCCGACCCTAGCCGTAACCTTTAATCTTTGTTCGCTTGGTTTGTCTGAATCCGCTTCTAGTTCGATTCCTGCGCACCTAGGCATTTGCATAGCATCAATGGGTTCGGCATCTTGTCCTTCTGTGTTATCATAAAGTACCATAGGGTCCTCCCTGGATAGCAGCTCCATGTACTGACCATCTGAGCGCCTGCGGCCATCTAGTTGGGCTTGTGTAGCTTGGCTTTTTGTTCGAACTTCCTTAGAGCTGCGTGATGAGGTCTCGACAAGCTCGGGTTGGAATTTCCTGGGTTTTCTCTGAGACGCCAAGGGTTGCTGAGGCATGGTCACAGCGTTGTTGGAATCCGATGGTCGAGATAGCGTAGAATCGTTGAAAGTCATGGAATCAAGGGTCCTTATGCCTTCGAATGGAGGAGGTACCTCGTAGTCATATTAGTGTGGTCAAGGACATATCGAACGTGGAGTAGTACTTTAGTGGTTAGGCCTAATCAAGTCTATATTATTGCCGTCGATGAGAAATTAATGGAACCTGAGTATGTGATAATCCAGGGCGTTGGAGATACTAGGGTGCGGACATAAGAAAACGGTCACTACATGGCCTTGCTTCCCCACATCTTGGGTAGATATTCAGGTAGCGCATTGGGGCAGATGAATAGATAAAGCGCAAGTAGCACAATCAGTAAGTCAGCAAAATAGATGCAACGTAATCGGTAAGCGAGTGGTCCATGTAAGCAGATGGCCCAACATTCCAAGAATTCATTAGAAGGCATTAACATCAATCATTTGAATCTTTGCTATTACAACCAAAAATGCCTGTATCACCAAAGAAGGCTATAAATGAACAAAATGTATTAAATTAGCTATTAAAGGTTTTCGCGATACTTGAATTTTATCTATAACCAAAACAGCTAAAGTTTTCAATATTATTGAAACAGCTCTTCGCAGGCGTCTTAATATAATGAAATTATAAACTAATACAGACGCTAATTTAAATAAACTAAAAAATGTTGAAAGTTACTGAACTAGTAGCTTTTATAAACAAAAACTTTCCTCCAGGCCCTCTTTGATTTATAGAATGTCGTCGATTTTTTTAAAAGAAACTAAATATGTAAAGGCGGTCTAGGGCAGTAGAACTAACTAATCCTATTTGATATATTTATCTTATTTATTTAACTGTTTGTTTTATAATAAATAAGTCTATCAGACTGCGGTCTTTTTTTCTTTTTTTCTTTTTTTTATCTAATATTTTATATTATTAGTATTGAATTAATAGAAATAAACTAATTTAATTAGGTTTAATATGATATTAGATATTATCTTTTTATTTTTAATTTTTATTTAAATTTTTATTAATTTTAAATATAAATATTATATATTATATTGTTAAAAAAGTTTTTATTTATTATATATATTGATAATAATAACAGCCGGTTTGAAAAAAAATAATAATTTCAAATCTTAAAAATAAAAAAATAAAATAAATTATATTTAAATCTAAAAATTTATTAATATTTTCATTACTGTAGCAGTAGATTATATAGTAATTAATTAAATAAATAAATTTATTAATATAATTAAAAATTATATAATAATTAAAATATTAAAAAAATAGATAAAAATATTAAATAAACTAAAAATCCAAGAATCTAAAAAAAAGAATTTTTATATTTATACTAATTTATAATATGAAGAAACCAAATTGTTTATATATTTTATTAATATTTATATTAATCTAAGTGGAAAATAGAATACCAAATTAAAATATATATAATTTAAAATAAATTTCAAATAAAGGTTTTATAATTTTATATTTAGTTCTATTATCTAGCTAAAGAAGGAAATATTATATAAATAAAAAACATATATTATATTATTTATTAAATAAAAATGTTTGTATTATAAAAAAATCAAAATATTTTAATTATAATTATTTATAAAAAAGACTGCTTTAATTAAAATTCTTTAGAGAAATTTAAATAATAATCTAATAAAAGATTATATTAAAAAAAGTTTCTATTCTAAACAAATTAAATATAAATTAAAAATATATTAATTTAAAAAACTTACTAAGATTTTTTAAAAAAATAATTTTATAATTAAGATTCTAATTTTTAAAAATAGTATAGTAATTTTAATGAGAAGATTAATAGATATCAAAAATTAATATATTTATTCCTATAAATATAAAACTATTATATAAATTAAAAAGTTTTTAATATTTATATTTTATAATTATAAATTAGTTTAAATATAACAGAATTTAATAAAAAATTTAACTTTACTAATATATATAATTTATTTTAATTTTATTATTAATAATTATTTATAAATATTTTGTTTTCAATATTAGATTCAAAATTTTCTAATATTATTTTTGGGAAAAATTATAAATATTATAAGATAAAATATTTTTAATACTATTAAAATTAATTAACGTAATTAAAAGAATTATTTTTGTAAAAAAATAATAATAAAATTGTTAAAACTAATATTTATAAAAATTACTATCATAGAAAAAAACAAATTAATTATATCGAAAAAAAATATTAAATAATATAATTAATTATTAATGATAAAAGATAAAAACCTAATATAAATAATATCTAAAAATTATTAAAATAATATTCTAAAATTTTAATAGTTTAAAATTAATTTATAAAAATATTTTTTTTAAAAAATACAGATCAACAGAATTTGAGAAAAATATTATATTAAAAAGGATCAAAAATAACAAATAAAAATTTTTATTAATTAAAAAGATATCAGAGTTATAAATTATATAAAAATATAATAAAAATCTAATTTGAACTTTAGATTCTATATAAAAGCTTTTAATTGAAAATCAAAAAATATAATTATATAATTAATAAGGAAATATTCAAATCTACTAATTTAAAAGTTGTAATTATAGAAACTATCAGATTTTATTAATATTTAATAAAATAAAGATTAGAATATTTATTTCTGTGTTAAATAAGACTAAAAGGTTAATAAGAATATAAAAGATATTAGTTTGAAATAAATTAGAAAAATTGGATAAAATCTTTTACTATAATATTATAATTCAACTAAAATATTTTTAAAATAGATTTATAATATTTTTCATATCAATAATTATTAAGTTAAGCTTTTAAAAGGTTTTTAATTAGATTATTA